AGTCCAACTTTTACGATATTATGCTTATAAATTTGATGCTGAAAACTGCATTTATTTTTGAGTGGTGGACTCGTCGCCGCCATTTTACAGAACGGTGATTTTTAGAGCCATAGTTGAAGCGCGCGGAACTTACTGAGCCCATGTCGTGACCAGGTGCTGACTGGAGAATGCATCGGCGGTGCGTGCACCCGGACCACGGCAGAACGTGGGAGTTGTCGGTGCCCACACACCCTCGCGGGGTTTACCTGTCGCGCTGAATGCTGTGCCTTGCCACGGGCAGATTAAGGCCTTACCCCTGTAGACCTACGGTTTACGCACTACGACCTTGTACTACTGTTGCGATGAAATAAAGGTGGTTTTAACCAACTGCGCACTACACACATAAACTACACTGATTATTGAGACCGGTTTATGACTTGATACTATCATGACAATAAAGTGTTAACTACTATGGAGAAGATACTAAAACACATGAGAATATACAATTAAGCATACCTGATGATGAGGAGAACAAGATGAGAAATAGATACCACGATCGACATGTTGCGTGTAAATTCCCAAGGGTTAGGGTCAGGACGACTGCGCTGGTCCACCGACTTAGCCGGGCAGATGGCTTCTCCGGCGTGACGAGGCGAATAGGACCAACTGCGCTTGACGGGTCCAGCCGACTGACTTGAGAGACGAACCGACGCGACCGACTGCACTGACGACACAGACGACACTGACTTGAACCGACCGACTGCGCGCGTGACTGGCTTTTCCCGCGCTTCCAGTGCTTTCCATGCTTCGCGGTAAGACCGCATGCGACTTCGAATGGAGCGCGGTTTCATCCCGGCGCATATCGTAACCCCAGGTCGTACGCAAGTCACGACACTCCGGGCGGCGGAAGGAGATGCGCCGGATGCCGTTTAGCGACTGCGACGAAGGAGAAATTGAGGTAGTAGGGGGGTACCCGCAACCCGTCGATCTATGGCATGACAAAAACAGACAGACTTTTATATACTATGAAATGGCAAGGGTAAAATATGGCAAGGATAATATGGCAATAAGTAAAGCTTCAAGTGACATCGAGCAAGGTGAGGCCTTAAGGGCACTCAAAAAACCATTACAATAAAAAGTGGCAATAAAGCAAGAACTTCACAAAATGGGAGTAAATATACAAAAAACTACAGACAAACTATATACAAAAACTAGTAAACAACAAAAAACTACTACACAATAGGTAACTGAGATCCAACCTTCTGAACGTCGACAACGACTGCGCTGCACGATGATGTCGTGGAGACCAACTTGAACCGAACATCCAAACTGGAGACCAAACATCTATCGTCGAAACGTCCTATCGAACCAAACGATCCAAACGTCTAAGCGTCCAAGCGTCTAAACGTCCTATCGTCCTATCAGTCCAATCGAACCAAACGTCCATGAAGGTAGAAACGATGCGAAAAACGTAAACTGCTGCTAACCTTGCGTCTTCTTTATGCGTCTTCTTAATGATGGCGATGGTAGTTCTCGTAGATCACGTACATAGCTGAGAAGAACTTATCGACATCGGGACCGATGTCGCGAACTATGTAGTGACTGTAGGGGCACAGTGCCGGATGGTGTTCAGTAGAATCGCAGAGACGACACGGAATATCCCGTTTGCAGTATCCGGGCGAGTGCGCTTTCAGACAATACAGACATTTGCCATCAGAGACTGCGGTGATGGCACGATCCGACAGACTCTTGATGTTGGGGCAGCCTGCGCTGAAGTGTGCGCCGGTGGCCTTGCAGAAGTGACAGACCAGATCGGGAGTAGGCTGCTTCTCTTGTGACTGCTTGCGCGAAGAGCTGGGAGATGGTGACTTCTTCGCTGGCTTCTGCTTGCGCTTGTCCGAATGCGCTGACGGTGAACGGCTAACTGCAACTGCGCGTACTGTGCGAACTGTCCTGTGGATCCACGGTCCTGTTGTGGAGTAGATGAGTGCGCAGTAGTCGTAACGGAGGTAGATGACCGAATATGCAGTTCCGTGGAGGTAGTAGCTGGAGCAGATTTAGGAATAGACTTCGTCTCGGGCTCCAGTGGGGTAGGTGAAATAGGAATAGGACCTCCAGTAACTGCGTGCATGTCCTCGATAGTCGGAATATCGTTGAGGTCGATTGATTCGGCTGGCAGTGACGACTCGAGTGTGATGTTATGAAGTCGTGCAATAGCCGAATTGATCTTCTTCAGCGTAAGGAATCCGGTGGCTGTTTCTGCTGTAGCAGTTGCGCAGATCATTTTAACATTGACGACAACGCGGGGGATATATATCCCGCGCATTGCAGGCCATGTCGGACCGTGCGGGATATATATCCCCCGCACCCATTACACTCATTTTTTTCGCGCACACGCCTGATTCTTTTTT